TGAAGAGTATCCGACGAGTGACCCTCTTTTTTTCAGCCCGCTGTTTCCGCACCCAAATTGCCAAAGCTTCGTCGACATCAGCCGAATTCAGGTGGCGGCCTCCTCCATCCAATCGTTTCCTTTTCCCATGAAGCTCTTCCAGCTCTTCTTTTTTTTCAGGCATCGCTTGACCACTTTGCGATCGATGCAGTAGAATTTCGCCGCCGAGTGAATGGAAACATCTCTCGCCATCTTAGCAACCTCGAGTTTCGTCTTCGCGTCCAATGTTCTTCTCGGTCGTTTTCCAATCGTTGTTTCGTTGTGGATTGGATTGTCGTCGGCGGGATCGTTCAAACTTTCACGTGAATCGGATCGTTTGTCGAAATGTTCCCGACCCGCTTCGCAGAATCCTTCCATTTCATCTTCATGAAGATTTCGAAAATCGGCGAGTACATCCATGAAGTCCAACTAAAAAAAATTATTTCAACAATTTATACTTTTGAAGTACCGCCCCCAAGTGTCCCCAAAAAGTTTCCCCAAACTGTCCCCAAAGAGAAAATCTAATATGGAGAGTTTAAACAATTTCGTCTGTAACAGAATTTTAAAAAAGCTCTAGAGAAAAAAAGAAAACGAAGCATTTCAGTATCAAAAAGAGTTCCCATATGGGGACACTTTGGGGGAACTTTTTGGGGACACTTGGGGGCGGTACTTCAAAAGTATACGGCAAATCAACAAAACGTAAAAATGATTACTTAGAAAGTTTAAAAGAGAAACCAAAAAATTATCAAAAAAAAGTCGCTATTCCTATGTAGTTTGTAAATTTTCGTACTTGGGGGGGGCGTTTATTGGGGGGGGGCGTTTATTTTTTCGATACCCCCTCAAAGGGGGCGTTTATTAGAGGGGGGCTTTTATTAGAGGGGGGGCTTTTATTAGAGGGGGGGCTTTTATTAGAGTAAATACGGTAAGTATTTTAGGTACCCAAGTATTTAGACGATTGTTTTGCTTTTTTTTTACTTTCAGTACTTTCAAAGTACTTTCAAACTTTGCAGTACTTTCAAAGTACTTTCAAAGTCAACGGGCATATGCTTTGACGTTCAAATTAGAGTTTTTCAAAGTTCGGCAAAATCACAATTACGTTATTTTTCAAAAGTTAATCATTCTTTATAAATCTTTCCAAACAAACCGCCGCGATGGCGCAAAAATGATCGAAATTGAGTTGAAGTGAGCTAATTGAACCAAAGCAGAAAAATCCCAAAATGAAAAGGTGAAAGCGCATTTTTCTGTACACTTGTTTTTTTTTGATGAAAAGGCAAGGGCAATATTTTGAAAGAATTAATGCAGCACAGTTTATTTATTTTTAGTCGTTTTTCAAAGCTTTATCTGTGTTTTCATCGATTTTATCGCTAGCTTCATATCGTGAAGACAACAGCCATTTTTGTCGTGACAATCCTTTCAATATTTGATTTGGGTTTGAATTGACATAGATGACATCGAGGATTTGGCACACGATATTTCTAGAGCTGAACCTGATATTTCGCTGCCAGTTAATAGGATTCAATCGAAAAATCCCAATCTAGTAATTGAAAATTGATAAAAACAATAGCAGTTACTGTATTCTTTAATTTTGAGAACTTTTATTGAGGATTTTACATGGTTTCAGAACGATTTAAAGCGTCTCTGATAAGCAAAAATTGCTCTGGAAACCACACAAAATCAAGCGTCTAAAAGTTGGATAAAACTACCGTATTCCTCAAAGTGTTATAGCACATTTTGTAGAGCTCAATGAGAGCTTTTCGATGCTATATAGCATCACAAACTTATTCAGGCACACGCCTGAATAAGTGATTGTTGGGATCGAATTAAAAGATCAAATCTTAACCCCAAAATAAATACACTCATCTGGATTCTGAATATACAGTTTCTTTTGAAAAGCCCTGAAAATTCGTTTGCTTTCATTTCAGAACCATATTTCCCACTCTGTTTTCGAAGAAAAGAAAGAAGAAGAATTTTCGCGGGTATCTTTACAGTTTTGATTTTGCGTTTTCTAGATAATTTTCAAGGAAAATATGAAGCTTTTTGAAAACTCGAGTAGTTGAACTTCAGTAAACTGAATATTTGAAGCATTTGCCGAGAATCTCGAAGCCGGGTAAATAAAGCCACAAAATCGACGCACTCCTGAAAAAGTGATAACAAATTGGTGTTCTAGATTAAAGTGCAAAAGTCACCGCGCCTGCAAAAGTCAAAAGTCACCCCCGGCGAGTGGAGCAGGGTAAGTTTTTTTCAGAAACCTAGACATCTCGATTAGTTAAGCAACTTTCATTATTACGACAAAGTTTAAAAATGTGTGAAAGGGATTCGCCCAGGTCGCCCCTAGGTTTTCCCCCACTAGGGGGCAGATAGGGGAGATACCTGAAACCTAGGAGGTACCTGAAAATTCGTACCTTTCTTTCCTTTTTTGTTTTTTTAGAACAGTGTTTTGCAAAGATTCTTACAACTACTCAAAATATAACTTTACTGCTTAAAAAATTTTTTAAAAATGCAAAGAAATTGAACTCTGATGCCAAAAATCGGGTCACCGGGGAGCACTACCACTGTACCACCGATTCACTTGTTTTTTGATGAGCGACGGTAGCCCATACAAACTCATAAGTCACTCAGTGCACTAGGGGGTCAAATTTCAAATGTGTTTTTGCAAAAATCTAGAGCGTTCGGGCAAAAACTAAAAACACCATCGTGTTTCCCGTTTCCGACTTGCGTAAGTCATATAGCTTTGGTTCGGATTCGCGCTTGTGAAATCTGGTCGCTCCCTATTTATTAGGTTGTCCAGTTATGAATGCGCGCCTGCTCTTGAACAGCGTACCTTAGGGCTATACAATTTTATCAAACCCTATTCTCTATATGCTGTTCAAGATTTCTTATTTATTACAACTTTTCATGTTTTTGACGTTAAACTAATTCATTTTTTATTTAATTTCCGTGTTTAGATGACCGAGACGAAGTTTCGTCTTCATGCCAGTCTTTGGTATGACTTCAAATTGGGCAAAAATGCCGTTGAATCCCATCGAGATCTCTGCAAAGTATTTGGCGAAGATGCTATTTCGGAAAGCCAGTGTCGCCGATGGTTTCAACGATTTCGAGAAGGAAATTAATCTTTGAAAGACGAAGACCACCAACGACGACCTCCTGCGATCGATAATGCAGTACTGAAGGAGGCGATAGAAATGGATCCTCGACAAACTACACGTGAACTTGCAGAAATATTTAGAGTAAGCCCTCAAACAATTTCCGAGCATTTAAATCAATTGGGGAAAACAAGCCGACAAGGGAAATGGGTTCCTCATCTTCTCAGCAATGCCAATAAAGCTACTCGTGTCACTATGGCGGGTATTCTTCTTCGTTTGGCAAAAAATACTGGGTTTTACGATGAAATCCTTACTTGCGATAAAAAATGGATTCAATATGATAATTCTACACGAAAACGGCAATGGCTAGAACCTGGTGAGGAGCCAATACCAACACCAAAACCCGACTTCCATGGAAAGAAAGCAATGCTTACTGTCTGGTGGAATTCCCAAGGCATTGTTTATTTTGAGCTGCTTAAACCTGGACAAACAATCACGGGTGAAACGTATGCACAACAATTAAAACGAGTGAACAATGTATTGCTACAAAAAGGACTTGATCCTTCAAACATAAAGTTCATTCAAGATAACGCCCGTCCACACGTTGCAAAGATTGTTCAGGAAAAACTCGAAGAGTTGGGCTGGGAAACTCTCCCGCATCCGCCATATTCTCCTGATATTTCTCCTTCGGATTACCATTTATTTCGCTCAATGCGAAACCATTTGGCCGGAAACAAGTTCAAAGAAGTTCAAGAGGTCGAAAAATGGATAGCCGACTTCTTTGCCTCAAAACAAGCCAATTTTTACGCGGAGGGGAATTCATTCTTTGCATGGAAGATGGAAACAAATATTGTTAACAAATGGTGAATATATTGTTGACTGAGCTGTTAAACTGTTGGTTTTAAAATCAAGAGTTGTTATCTTAAAAACGCGCATTTATAACTGGACAACCTAATAGATGTCACCTCCAGGAATTATCGAAAGTTTGATAAGATAAGAGGATCAAGTAATGATAAGAAAGATGAACATTTGTCGAGATGTGATCTGAAAATGAGTATAAATATCGGTTGAATAGAGCGTTTGGGGTACCAGTTCGGTCAGAGCCTTTTGTCTCTTCCTCTGAGAGAGATGAAAGTGCTGGCTGGATTCGGTCTTTTGGCTATCGGCTTTGCTGCATCCTCCCGTCAATGGGAAGAACGCTCGTTCAACAAGGGAAACACCTACGAGTTCGAGTGAAAGGGACAGGTTCGTATTTGCGAGAATAATGTAGGGAGGAGGTAGGATAGGGGAGTATGGTAAGGGAGACTGTAATGGGAAAGGACAGTTTAGTCGATAGGGATCGCTTAAATAGGACATAAAAAGCGGCACTAGATTGGGTACCTAGAGAGAAAAGACAGGTTTGGTTGAAAAGACAAATTTTTTTTTTGTCTCTTCCTCTGAGAGAGATGAAAGTGCTGGCTAGATTCGGTCTTTTGGCCATCGGCCTTACTGCATCCTCCCGTCAATGGGAAGAACGATCGGTCAACAAATTGGAACAAAAGGCCAACAAGCTTTGACAAGGAATAAAGAATTTTCGAAAATGTCGAGATAAATTGAAACTATAAGCAACTTCAAGATTATTTAAAGCTACAACTTGCCAAGATTTTGCCAAGACAAGCAGTTTTTTCATTGTAATTTTAGGCTTTTCGAGTTTTTCGCTCAAAACTCCGATGAAAAAAGATTAAATCAGAAAATTCTAGTCAAAACAGAAGATGTTTTAACAGAGTAAAACAAAAGTTTCAATAAACAGAAGAAGTTTTTCAATTTATACTAGTTTTTGAGTCATGAAGTTGAGTTTTTCGAGACAAAACATTTGTTTCCTGTTGAAGTTCCCTTCTTTTTCAATTCCAATTCTCGAAAATGTCTTGCCAAATTGTTTTCAGTCTTCTGTGCATTGCTATTGGAGCATACGGTAATTATATAATAGCTAGGGTTGAAGAAGTTAAACCCATTTTAGCATCATGGCCCTGGCCTGGTGAAAAGTGGCCAAACGGGCTCTGGTCTTCCCATGATTGGCCGCAACTTCGACAGGCAAGTAAAAACCGTGTAAAACAGAGAGGTAGGACAGTTCCAAACGCATAATTCTAAGGCCAAGCCAAGTTACGACAACTTTTCATTTGATTTTGGCCTGGTCTGGAAAGGCCGTGGCCGGTTAGATTTAAAAAGAAATAAAGAATATACGTTTTTCGTTCGACATGCTCTTCGCGCTAAATGATGAACGAAAGAATCAGGAAAAATGAAAAACTTTTTCTTTATTCAACCGTTCGACCGTTGGTTAAAGTTAAATTTCGCATTTTCAGACGTTTTCCCGTTTTCCTAATATGTAAATTAGGTTGATTCTGTCGGCACATTCAGTAGCGCAAATTTTAGAAAACATTTAACGGAGTGCAATCTACAGTATCGAGCAAAATTCTTGCAACATCACTTTTTGAAAAAGTGATGTTGCAAGGGCTTTTTTAGGGCTTTTTTGTTTTTAATTAGAATAATACATGTACACTTTATTTACAAAAACAAATTTGAAGTTCAGCTTAAAACAAAAAAGTAAATGACTACTACTTAGTAAACTACTAAAAAATACCCTAAATACAGAAACATCAAAAATTAATATTCATTCGGTCCACCTTTTGCCACTTGGCTTTTGCCGTGACTTCTAGCCTTGATTTGAAGCCAATCAATCTCGCTTCTTACTCTAAATACTTGAAAGAATTGATACATTGATAAAAATGAAGGATTGATACAAATCTTTCAAATCAGAACCTTTGAATTAAAAATTGAACCGACTTGGTCTAGAAAAATTTCAAGAAAATCAAAAAGCGTATCTTAAACATGACGGTTTATGGAAATAAAAGACTATTCCCTAACACCTTTTCAGCTGAAATTTTGGAATCCGAACAGTGAGACGAAGAATATTCTATTGGGAAACAACATGTGCATGGAAATCTCTTTTTTAAGATCATTCCAGAGAGAATTCAAAGTTTCGAGGAAAACCCTTAACAATTATTTAATTATCAAACACTACTTTTGCTCAGAAGAAGTCAAGAACCAACTCAATGAACGTGAGTTTTGATACGCTTGTGTACTGAATGAAGAACAAGATACAAAATGAAGAATCCAATTCAAAAATTTGTAGCTAATCGAAAACTCTAGAACAGAATCTAATTTAAATAAAATTTAGAGCTTTTACAATTTCAGTGAGCCCAATCGCTAGCAACTGCTCGGGTCCTGAGCTTGATGAAGAGGCAGAGGAGAGGTGTCGATTCGTGATTACTGATCCAAGTTCTGAAAGTTGCAAGTATGGAATTTAAATAAAGACGGCTCTTAAGCCATCCTGAACAGGTCAAGCTCAAGAGTTTATGGTAATTTTTAACAAGCACAAAATCTTCGTCACACGTTCTTTTTACTTACCTGTTAAAGATGCGGCCAATCATGTGAAAGCCAGAATCTTTTAGTGACCGCGTCATGTTCGGCGCCTGCAGCATTGAGGCAATCGGTGATCAATGCGGCGAAGAGAAAGCAAAAAGCGGCCTCGCCAAAATCTCTCTGATTACGGTGAGTTTAAAAACACTAAATTACTACAGCACTACATTTCAATGGGTTTTTCTATTGGGTTGGTGAATTGAAAATATGGCTATTGTCATATGTGACAGTTTGAGCACTTTCTTCAAAAGAAACCCATTTTGGTGTCAATGGAAAAGTTGTAGAGAATCAAAAATTAAGCTTATATCCAAATTTTCTGAACGATTCAAAAACTGGTTTTCAAGAAATGCCAAATTTACGAATTTTCACAAAACTTGCATTTTAAGCGAAACTACCAAGTGTATCTTTTTGAAAATTTGGCTATAAGCCTAATTTTTGATTCTCTACAACTTTTCTATTGGCACCAAAATGGGCTTCTTTTGAAGAAAGTGCTCAAACTGGGACATCTCCAGTCCTCTATTTTTGAGTCTCACACTTGTCTCACACACAAACCAAAATCCTACTACGAAAGAGGAATCCGCAAATTGCCTGTAAAATGGGCAGAAGTCGTCAATAATAATGGAGATTATTTGGAATGAATTGATGGTTTTATGTTGAATAAATTTTAGTTCAAAGTCCGGCAGTTTTCAACTCACCAACTAAGTAACAATTTCAGTTGGGTCCCCAAATTGACACGATCTCGCAACCTTGCCGCAAAGAAACCATCGAAATGCTCAAATACCTAATTGAGCATTATGAGAGAATTGAAATTTCTAACGTTGAATAAACTCTATTTAAATCTGATGGACTTAATGGTAGCCTTGAATTCAAAATTGAAAGCTAACATCCACCACAGAAAGCCTTCGAGTACAAATTTTCAACTCATAAATTTAACAAAAAAGTGCCTCGTCATCTATTCAAGTCAACAACTTGAAATTCGGATGAAAAAAAAATTAAATCTGAAAATTTTTGCTAAAATAGAAGAATTTTAACAGAGCAAAACAGAGGCTGCAAAAAATATTGAAGGAGTTTTTTAATTTATGGCATTTTTGAGTCAGAGAATGTGTTTCCCGAGAAAAGTATTTCGTCTTATTGAAATTTTTTCCTCCTCCTTTAATTCCCATTCTAAATAATGCCTTTCCGGGTGAATTTTAGCCTTCTTTGCCTTGCCATTGGATAATATGGTAATTATATAATAGCTAAGATTTAACTAGATCTAAGGAGACAAATCACTTCAAGCATCATGACCCTGACCTTCGCACTATTAGGCACAACTTCGTCAGGTAAGTAAAAACTGTGTAAACAGGAAAGTAGAGCAGTTCCAAACGCTTAATTCCCAGCCCAGGCCAAGCAACGCAAACTTTTCATTTATGACTGTGACCTGGTCTGAAATGGCTGTGGCTTCTACCCCAGGGTCAACCAGTCAACCAGTGTCGTGACTTGGCAACCAGTTAACCATTGTCGCAGCTTACTCTAAATTTTTCACAATACTTATTGAGATTGATCCAGTTTTGGCCTTGACCAAACGCTCGACAGGTAAGTGACATTCTTTACAGATAACCCAGCGAATCTCCACAGGTTTTTAACCCAATCCAAAAATTTTTGTCAAAATTCGGATAATGAACAAGACATTCAGTTGGGAGAACTCATTTGCAAGTAAGGACTAACAAACATTGTTAAAGCTTTCCTTTTTAAGTTTTAAATACGTTTAAAAGATTGATTGCTTTTGATGAAGATCTCGACAAAAATTACAAAGACTATTTTTGCTTGAAAGAAATCAAGCAACAAAATGAAAACACCGGAAAACGATCAAAACCACGCCACTTTTTTCTAGGGTAGTTTTATGCGTAGATTCGGAAAAACACAATGAGAGCTTGGGAAAAGGCGTTTTAAGCTTAGTCTCGGTGCTCCAACGTGCGCGCTTCTATAATGTACTCCACTATATGGAGCTCAAGCTATCGACTATTGGGACACTTTTCAAGGTCAAAACTAGAGCCAAAATGGTTTTAGAGACGTTTTATTGGCTTTATTAGCAAAACATTGACTTTTATTCACAACCTCGAAACGCTACAATAACATTAACACTTACAGATAGACCCCGAGATCGACTCGATCCCACAACTTTGCCGCAAAGAGTTCATTGAGAAGTTCAAAAACATAATTATGAGAAAAATTGACTTTTCAAACGTTGAATAAACTCTACCTCTAATTTTAAACTCCAAATCGCATCAATTACGATACAAATACAAGATTTTGAAACAAGAATACGGTATGAAATGGCTTTAGAAGATCTTTAGAAGCTTTAGAAGATCTTTTGAAGCTTTAGAAGATCTTTAGAAGGTTTAGAAGATCTTTAGAAGCTTTAGAAGATCTTTAGAAGGTTTAGAAGATCTTTAGAAGCTTTAGAAGATCTTTAGAAGGTTTAGAAGATCTTTAGAAGCTTTAGAAGATCTTTGGAAGCTTCTAAAGATCTTTGGAAGCTTCTAAAGATCTTTTGAAGCTTTAGAAGATCTTTTGAAGCTTCTAAAGATCTTTAGAAGCTTTAGAAGATCTTTAGAAGCTTTAGAAGATCTTTAGAAGCTTTAGAAGATCTTTAGAAGGTTTAGAAGATCTCAAATTGTTGAAACAAAACCAACAATCTACCCAGCAATTCGTAAAATTTCTTTAAAAGTTTTAGTTGCATAAAAGTTTGCAAAATGATCAATAAGGCTAAAAAAGTTATTGAAAAAGAGCAAAAAGAGAAACAAGATTCTTGCAAAGATTAGTCATCATTAGTCAGTTTTCTCTTTTTTCATTCCGCAATTCAACGTTTGGTTATTTGAAATCATTTCTGTGAAAGATGAGTGATCATTTTTGTATCTATAAAAGCAAGGAGTTGCTCAAACTGAGCACTTTACTTTAACTTTAATTTGCAGACATTGCTTGAGCACCGTTGAGTGCTCAAACGATCAAATCTTTTGATAATTCTTCTCAAAATTTATCTTAACTTATTGTTAAAGATTTATTGTTCAGATTTCAAAGCCGCCGAGAATGATGTGGCTCTGGAGACCAACACTTGTCCCGTCGAGGATGCCCGATGAGAGTGATTATAATTGTTGCTGTCAAAGGATCACAGCCAGGGTGAGTTTTCAAGAAAGAACTTATCCAAGGAAGTCCTAGAGCCTATAAGGAAGTCCTAGAGCCTATAAGGAAGTCCTAGAGCCTATAAGGAAGTCATAGAGCCTATAAGGAAGTCCTAGAGCCTATAAGGAAGTCCTAGAGCCTATAAGGCAGTCCTAGAGCCATCTCAGAAAAAGCAAGGACAGAGCCAGTTCTGAAGCCAAATCCTTCGGCTTGAGTCGAGATCTTTAGATGACTAGGCTTGCAGCCGTGCCACATCAGAACCTGTCTTTTGCCTGGTCTTGGATTTTTGTACTTTATTTTGCTCAAATTTAGTGATCTCAAATTTAGTGATTTAGTGGGTATTACATCTTTTCTTAATCAATGCCAACTTCAGACCGGTTTCACCATCTTCATCGGTATCGATGCTTTCTTCTTGATCCTTTCAATTGTTTCCATTTTTATGGAAACACACTACAAATTTGGCTATGTAAGTTGGAATTGGAGTAATTTTGAAAGTAAAACTTTCAAAAAACGACTCATTATACAGTAGATCTCATTATCGATCTCATTATTCACTTGTTAGGTCCAATAGTTTAGATTTCTCATGTCATTGTCACAATTTTCATGGTAAGTTTGGCCTGCTTGTCCATCAAGACGTTCAAACCGGCTTATTTACAAGTTTATGGAATCTGTTATGTACGTTTCAAACAAATTGTTTTCAAAAGTAATCACCATTTATAGATAATTCAATTTGCGCTTTCGGCTTTGATAGCGCTCATAATTTGCTTCGTTTTTGGGATTGGAGCCATTTTGTGGGTGATCATTTGAAAGATTTTCAAGTCTTACTGTAATATTAGATTACTGAGTATTCAGAAAGATTATTGTAATGTAAACTTTTTATTATTTTCGCAAACTTATAACTTTCCAGCTTTGCCTCAGTGACCCCGAGAAGTGGAGATGAGCAACATATCAAAGCCGCTGGAACTCTTGTTTCACTGGGTAAGCTTTATGAAAAACGAGATATGTATTGAAAATGGCTTGTATAAATGTTGCGTCCGTTAACGAACTAACGTTCAGCTCGGATCCGGACGTCCGTTTACGAACTAATGTTCAGATCGGATCCAGACGTCCATTTACGAACTAACGTTCAGATCAGATCCGGACGTCCGTTAACGAACTAACGTTCAGATCGGATCCGGACGTTCGTTTACGAACTAATGTTCAGATCGGATCCGGACGTCCGTTAACGAACTAACGTTCAGATCAGATCCGGACGTCCGTTAACGAACTAACGTTCAGATCGGATCCGGACGTCCGTTTACGGACTAAACTTGTCTTTAGATTGGTCTGAAGTTGAAAAATGCCTAAAGTTCCATTAACACCAAATTAGCATTTAAGTATAATTTGTAAACGGACGTCCAAAACCGATCTAAAGATAAGTTTAGTTTGTAAACGGACGTCCGAATCTGATCTGGATGTTCAGATCGGATTCAGAAGTCAGTTTACGAAGAGTTTAACGTAAACGAACGTCCGGGGATCCGATCTGAACGTTATTTCGTAAACGAAGGCAACATATATATTTAATCCGATCATCCGAATCTGATCTGGATGTTCAGATCAGATTCAAAAGTCACTTAAGAGTTAAGCGAACGTCCGGATCCGATCTGAACGTTATTTCGTAAACGGACGCAACATATATATTTAATAACTGTGCCACCAGCTGAGTTTTTGGAGTTAAACGTGTAATTTGAGGGGTTAAATGTTGGAGAATGTTCGTGTTGGCAAAGCTTTCCTTTTAAAGCTTCAAAGCTTTAAAGTACGTTTGAAAGTTTGATTAAATCTGATGTAGATCTCAAAAAAAGCTATAAAAAACCCATTTTTGCTCATATCGATTAATAAATATCTATTCTATAATTTCAGCTTTGGTGTTCGGCACAGCGCTCTACATGTTTTTGATGACTTGGAAAGCTGTAGTCACTTACAAATACTATCGATATATCAGGTAAATAAATGTTTTTTAGAGTTTAAAAGTGAATAATTTGAATAGAATATCAGGCGAAAAATGAAAAAAATCCGAAGAGAAGATGAAAAGATTACAAAACTTAACTTTCCACTAGCTTTCCAAATTATTCACCTTTTAGAAACGGGAACTCTAGTCCTTCAAAGATCAAAGATCAAAGGAAAAACTCAAAAAGTGAATCAACAATTGCAATTACAATTGCACAAACTATTTAGCGTCTTTCAGTTTTAATGATTTTTTTTACTTTTAACATCTGACATCAACTTCATTTCAGAGATCGACAACTGGCGATTGAAGAGCAACCAGCGCTAAGGAATACAAATTATCCAACAACATTCCATCCTTAAAGCTTTTGAATAAATGCTTTCAAGAAATTCCCAAAAACAGATACTTAGATTAATCGCTTAAGCCAAGCAAAACCAAAAGACATTTACAAATGCTAGATTCTTTAAAAACCATTTAACCCAATTCACTTAATGCCATCGAAATTCTCGAACATTCACCGGATCAACGTCAACAATATCAATATCAACAAAACAATATCAATCATAAAGCATAAAAGTTTATAAAGAAGTTGATTGTCCCAAAAGAATCAAGTAAACCAAAAAAGTAAATCGCCTTTGGGTCCATTCGATGTCTAGGAGTAGAAACGCCTTTGTTCTTGACATATCGTTGAATCACAGCAAAAGCATAATGAATTTCCTGACCAATTCCCTACATTGAATCAACTGCTAGATAGACAAATGCTAGATTCTTTAAAAACCATTTAACCCAATTCACTTAATGCCATCGAAATTCTCGAACATTCACCGGATCAACGTCAACAATATCAATCACAAAGCATAAAAGTTTATAAAGAAGTGGATTGTCCCGAAAAAATCAAGTAAACCAAAAAAGTAAATCGCTTTTGGACCCATTCGATGTCTAGGAGTAGAAACGCCTGTTCTCCTTGTTCTTGACATATCGTTGAATCACAGCAAAAGCACAATGAATTTCCTGACCAATTCCCTCCATTGAATCAACTGCTAGATAGACAAATGCTAGATTCCTTAAAAACTATTCAACCCAATTCATTTAATGCCATCGAAATTCTCAAACATTCACCGGATCAACGGTCTAAATCAGCCATTAAAGCATAAAGGTTTATAAAGAAGTTGATTGTCCTGAAAGAATCAAGTAAACCAAAAACAGATACTTAGATTAATCCCTGAAGCCAAGCAAAGCCAAAAGTAAACCGCTTTTGGACCCATTCGATGTCTAGAAGCAGAAACGCGTTTGTTCTTGACATATCGTTGAATCACAGCAATCAAGTAAAGTAAATCAAAAAATCAAGTAAACCAAGTAAATCGCTTTTGGACCCATTCGATGTCTAGGAGTAGAAACGCGTTTGTTCTTGACATATCGTTGAATCACAGCAAAAGCACAATGAATTTCCTGACCAATTTCCCGCATTGAATCACCATTTTTCAGCATTGTGTCGATCTGCTCTTTTTCTTAATCCGTTAGTTGATTTGATGGCGCCATTGTTTTTAAAATAATGAATTTTTACTAAAATTAATAATAACATATAATAAAACAAAAAACAAGAAAGAAACAAATGATCAAGTGACCCGCAAGACCTGAAACCGTCTGTGAAAACCTGAAAATGTTTAAAACAAAAATTTTTGACGGCGTACAGTAATTTTTTTTCAATGTTTTTAGAGTTTTAAAACATGCTCTTTCTAATGCAAAAAGGGTTTTGTTGATAGCTCTTTTCGTTCTTCTTAAGTAGCGTTTTTAAGGGCATGACCCGCAAGACTTGAAACGCTATATTAGTGGAATAGAGAGTCGTATCCATTTTTGAAAAACGTTTTCAACATTCAGGCAAGCTCTCCTCCGCAATTTGCATTTGAATTTTGCTAAATGAATCATTAGGACAGGTTCAATGAAAAGAAATCACCAATATAAGTGGTATTTAGAATCTTTTTGGCAAATTCTTTTTGGAAATTTACGATTCTCAAGATTATTTCAGTATTGCAACTCAAATAGAGGATTCAAAAATGAAGAAAGCGTTTGTTTTCTATTTATTTTACTCCTCGAAAATTAAAATAAATAATTTTTCACTTCAGTGTAGCCATTTTCGAGATTTTGAAAAACGAGCCCGAGCCGTTTTCTTCAAAGGAGCCGAACAAATGATTGACCCAACCGAGCCTCGCCCTTCCTGAAAAAAGCAGAATAATGTGAATAATGTATTAGTTTATTGCTCTTAATTTATTGCTATTGCTTATGAATAATGTATTGGGTTGTCCAGTTATGAATGCGCGCTTTTTACTATTTTGTAAATTTCTCAAGATACCGAAATCAAGAAAAAGATTTATATGAGTATTATTCGAAAGCTGAAGATCTCCTCTACATTTCGATATAAAAAGTTTTTGAATTTGTTCAGCTTTTGGGCAAATTGACCGCACAGAAGAAGAGGTGGCCAAAAAATGGAAGGGTGCCTTTGGATCAAGTTTTGGTTCCGCTCAAATTGAGTTAACCGTTTGATGTTTGGCCAATAGATATATCAATACAACTTTTTTTAAAATATAACAATTTCAGAGCATCTTTACTTTTCTTTTCTGGGCAGTTATTTTACACCATAAAACTTGAGGAATAGCTAAGCTGAAACGGGTTTTTTTGAAAACGACCTTTGTGCAGTCAATTTCCCAAAAAGTTGAATGAATTCAAAAACTTTTTTATTCGAAAATGTAGAGGAGATCTTCAGCTTTCGAATGATATATAACACTCATATACATCTGTTTGATATCCTGAGAAATTTACAAAATAGTAAAAACGCGCATTCATAACTGGACAACCCAATATTAGTTATTTCTCATAGAGTTGAGTCAAAGTTTATCTAATTCATTTTTACTCTTTGACCTAAAGACCAAATTGGTTACAACATTATTTAGAAGCCCAAAGATGATTCACTCACTTTGCCACCAATCAACCAATCAGCCTTGGGTCCACATTTGAATTCGATGCCGAAATTCTCGGTCTTCAATGGTCCACCCTCTTGGGGAATTTGAAGAGTTTCAGTTTGTGGAGTGCCGGGACCGGTGAGCTGAATTCAAAGAAATTCGATTTCAGAACAATTCATAAATTTGAATTTTGACCAGACCTTGCATACAAAGTTCTCCGAATCATTTGATTGTTTAGTATATGGATAATATAGTCTAAAATGTGTAAAAGCGTTCTCAAGAAGACTAGATTGATGAATTTGAGCCTTTTCAAAGACTTGGAACATTTTCATTCGGGCCGATTCTGGACCGATTCAGATACTTCAAACTGTTCATCTCTTTTCTATGTGAACTTTTCTATCTATTCCCTACTAACAAGGGAAGGTCAAGGCCAAATTACATCAGTCATAGACCATTCGACGCAGAATTTTGAGCTGATTCCTAATCTGCTTTCCATTTTTGCAAAATGGCACTCTATCAAAAGTTATGAGAGCTCTAAACTTTTGATAGAGTGCCATTTACAAAAATGGAAAGCAGATTAGGAATCAGCGCAAAATTCTGCATCGAATGGTCTATGGCTGATGTCATTTGGCTGACAAACCCAGTTGATATTCCCTTGTAAGGTGTTGAAGCCATCTAGGAAACCAGTTTTAACGTTTTACCTCTTTTTCCGTGATTATAAGTGCCGAGATCACTGCGGGTCCAGCAGATGGGTTGCACACTGCTGAGGCGACCAGACATCCATTCGGTGCAGTTCTACAGTTTATGAAATAATAAAAGATTCATGAAATCCCAGGTCTACTTAAGATTTTCATTTAACAAGTGCAGTTTTTCGAGTATTTGGCTTCCCTATGAGTTTCTGAGGTTTATGCTATTAAGCACTGTGAACGCTCTGTTCACAGTATTGTTTATGCTCTTAACCACTCTGAACAAGGCCTACTTGTAGGTGAACACGATCGGTTTATCGGTGGGCCCGCCGGGCGTGGGCGGAAAGGCGAATTCGGTGGGTGCGATCTTGTCCTCGAGATCCTCATCACATGTGGCACATGCTGAAAAGAAAAAAAAACTTGCGTAGAGATTAACGACAGATATTGTTCATGATAATTGTGAAGAGTTGACTGGATATCATTTCTTCCGCATCAAAATTGTTCTCACCTGGCACGGGCCTAAAAACAGCTTCTCTTAGTACCCTTTTAGTAAGATAGGAAAGTTTGCTTGCTGATTTAAAGTGTTACAGTTGACTTTTTAACAACACCAGCTACTGCCATCAAAAGAAAAGGATTAAAAGTTTTTAGAAATGATTAAAGAAGTGATTTAGAAGTGATTACGGTAGATTTCTTCTTCTTTTCATTGCTAGATTACGGTAGATTTCTTCCTCTTTTCTTTGCTAGATTACGGTAGATTTACGGTATACAGGTATGACTTTAAAGCAAAAACTCACGGTGGTGGTTCCTCCACTCCTCGGGCACACCCGAAAGTTGGCACAAAAAGAACAGAGATACAAAAACAGAGCGCAATCAAGTGGATCATTGTGCGCTAAAGGATCGGTCAGCTGTAGGCACAATAGCTTATATAGAAACGGATCAAGGTCTGCCATTCACCATCGGGATACAGAAAGTTCCATATCTGGGGATAGATTACAGAGAGAGAAGGGATCTCCTCTCTTTCAACTATTCATTTTGTGTCTGTCTCGTGCTGAAAAAAGTCGATTCGATACCATTTCTGTCTCTTCATTCTTTCCGATCTTCTCATCCCCGTTTTCTGCTTCCGCATTCGTGTCAATCCCCATTTTTGCTGTCTTTTTGGAAACGGATTTAGAATTAATAGGTAAACGAACAAAGGGTCAACCAGCAAGATTGCTTTAATATTAGAAAATACTCAACCACATCATTCCGAAAGTTCTGATAAATTTATTTCTTTGTTGAAATCATGGATTCATCTAGAAAAGATCATTCTTTTTTTCTGAAAAGCGACTTTATTTCAATTGTTTCTTAACCCATTCGAAACTTCTGCAGCGAATAATCGCTGTAGCAAAACTCGGGAACGGACCGCTGCAGCCATTATTGACCTATTTTCGTTCAATCGATTGGTTTTTTCTGCGGTTTTTCGGCATTACATGTATATTCCAATTATAGCAGATCTACAAGTTACGTGGGCAAAAAAGATGTTTCATATTTACCCGGAACCAATGCAGTCTCTGGTTTTGCATTGAAATGTTCCATAATAGCTCTAATCTTATAAAGCCGATCTCCTGCAGGATCCAGTTCATTATCACAAAAACGCAGGTTGCGAAGAATGGATTCAAATTTTGCTCTTGACATAATGTGGGACATGTGGGAAAATCATCCTAATCCAGGCCTGCTACTCCAGTAGTCACGAATCCTCGGTAATTTGACGATTCCCATTTGAAGCCAGGAAGAGCTTGAAAGATTTTGCATCGAAATCTTGCCAGTTTGTTTTCCTTTTTCCATGTTTATTAGACTCGCCTACTAACATATTGATTAATTCGTCGTCGATAAAATAAGAACAATGATCGATAAGATCTTGAAAAGTACTGAAGTCAAATCCAAATCGTTCTTCATCAAAAATAAATGGTGTAGGAGACTCTCTTAAATCTTTCCAACCATCTGGATAAACTGCTTCGGAGTCAAAAATGTCAAAAAAGGGCTTGGTCCGTAGACGAAAAAAAAGAAAAAACGCTGCGGTTTCGAATGGGTTAATTTTAACAAACTCAACAAACTCAAAAAAGGTCAAAATTCAAGAAAAATTGACCAACGAAACTTCAATCGGAAAGCAAATTCTTTTTGAAATCGATTCTTTATATTTTCGAATCTGAATAGTCGAGAACTGCTGAAATTGAGAAAAATTATTAAACTTTTTGTTTGCTTTTAGCATCACAAGTGTGTTCTTCTTGCGGAAACCAAAAGAAAAGTCGATCAATTCTTCGATTATTTCTGTGAACACAAAGACAACAAATATGAGATCACATTGAGTAAAGCGCTGTTATTCTGTTCACGATTTTTGTGACTTTTTGTGACGATCATTTGGATGTGCACGTGTTGCAGACGGTATTGTTGGTGTCCGGATTTTGGAGGATTTTTGTCCTTTTCATTCTCTATCTTTTTTTCTTTTGATACCAAAATAGGTTTCTATGAGAAAGCTCAAATTAGAATCAAATCAAAAATTGAAATAGATTTCATCCTTTTTCACTGCTCAACTTCAAATCTTTAAAAAAATTAACTAACGCGTGCTTTTCAGAATTACTTAAAGGACAATTTGTAAATAAATAATAGGCGTGACGGGCAGACGGACGTTTTATTTTTTTGTTTATGGTAGATTTATCTGCCTAAGTTTTCTGGTCCAGACAGCCAAAAAAGTTTATGACGCTTCTTTTCGTCATGATCTTTTTGCCTTTCAAATCTCGAAGAAAAAGGCGTTCATTTGATTTGAAATTTGACAAACTTTGATATTCTCCTATGTATCTCTCAATTTTATTCTCAAAAAATCCTCCTCTTTATTATGCTGGAGAAAATGTACAAGGAACATTACTGATCAAAGTAGGTTTTTGAGTCAAAATATTGTATTTTTCCAATAAACGGATTGATTTTTTTGTTATTATTTCGTATTTTTTGAGAATCAAATTTAGAGATACATAGGAGAATATCAAAGTTAGCATGCTAAAGGGTACATCTACCTGTAAAAAGTTGTATCTACTTAGAGGTACTGAGGGCACGTAGCACAAACTCAAGTCGTTGAGATTAGAAAGGCAAAAAGATCAAGACGAAAAGAAGCGTCATAACTTTTTTGGCTGTCTGGGCAGAAAACTCTCTTGGTGATTCACCGCTTTTCGATTTCAAGCTTTTTTCGGTAACAAATTGCGAAATTTGAAAGATATACAAAATTACAAAATTTCTATTGAGAAAGCTTTCAAAAATTTGCTGCTTAAGAACTTTAGAAACTTTTCTGATTTCTAATGGGTTGGTGAATTGAAAACTGCCGGACTTTGAACTAAAATTTATTCAACATAAAACCATCAATTCATTTCAAATAATTTCCATTATTATTGACGACTTCTGCCCGTGTCGACTGTGTATGGTAGATTTGTCTATCTGCCTAACTTTTCATTCTCTATCTTTTTTCTTTTGACAAAAAAGGTTTCTGTGAGAAAGCTCAAATTAGAATCAAATCAAAAATTGAAATAGATTTCATCCTTTTTGACTGCTCAACTTCAAATCTTTAAAAAAATTAACTAACGCGTGCTTTTCAGAATTTTTTAAAGGACAATTTGTAAATAAATAATAGAACTTTTTGATAAAATAAACCACATATTGATTGGTTTATTTTTTATTTCAAAAAGTAACCTTTAAAAAACGGACAAGACTTTCCGGTCAACCTGATAGCTAACAGGTTTGGGTGGCTGTTTGTAAGTTGGGGTGCTTTGGAAAAAAGCTAAGAAAAAAGCTAGTTAACAATCCTGGTTCTCTGATAGGTATAATTTCAAGAATGAGCGTGCAAAATGCAACTAGCTGCTTCTAATCAATATATCTTTTGTTCTAGGTGTTTTCCTGCATCCTCGATCCACTTCTCCGCTCTGATAAAAGGGAAAAATATCGTTTAATCTTGTTACATCTATGAATGGATGTTTACAAAATTTAATTTTCTAAGCAAGATAAGACTCTGAAACAAGTCTAGGAGTAAAGCTAGAGCTAGAGCTAGAGCTAGAGCTCGAGCTAGAGCTAGAACTAGAGCTAGAGCTAGAACTAGAGCTAGAACTAGAGCTAGAGCTAGAACTAGAGCTACAACTAGAGCTAGAGCTAGAGCTAGAGCTAGAGCTAGAACTAGAGCTAGAACTAGAGCTAGAGCTTTAGTTTAGTTTATTTATTGGGTTGTCCAGTTATGAATGCGCGTTTTTACTATTTTGTAAATTTCTCAAGATATCGAACAGATATATATGAGTGTTATATATCATTCGAAAGCTGAAGATCTCCTCTACATTTTGATATAAAAAGTTTTTGAATTCATTCAACTTTTTGGGAAATTGACTGCACAAAGGGAGAGGTCGTTTTCGAAAAAACCCATTTTAGCTTAGCTATTCCTCAAGTTTTATGGTGTAAAATAACCGCCCAGAAAAGAAAAGAAAAGTAAAGATGCTCTGAAATTGTTATATTTTAAAAAAGTTGTATTGATATATCTATTGGCCAAACATCAAACGGTTAACTCAATTTGAGCGGAGCCAAAACTTGATCCAAAGGCACCCTTCCATTTTTTTGCCACCTCTTCTTCTGTGCAGTCAATTTACCCAAAAGCTGGACAAATTCAAAAACTTTTTATATCGAAATGTAGAGGAGATCTTCAGCTTTCGAATAATACTCATATATATCTTTTTCTTGATTTCGGTATCTTGAGAAATTTGCAAAATAGTAAAAAACGCGCATTCATAACTGGACAACCCAATAGTTTAGGAACTACACATTGTTACCCTTTTTATGAAAAATAGAGAAATATAAAATTAATAGGCTAAAAATTGATTGTTTACATTGCAGTGATCGAGAGATGGACCTGCGGCGAGAGGCATTGCACCAAATCGGTCATGCGCTTGGGTTAAAACATTCAAAAGAGCTAAACTCAATCATGCATAATGAGCAGTATCGAGTAAGTATTCAATATAAGTAAAATTAGACTTAGCAAAGTATTTAACTTGGTAAATTGAGTTCGCCAGAAACCAAAGGTTTACGTAAATCATGGAAACTTCCACACGATCTTTATAAGGACTAGCGATGGGAAAATTCCAACCCGGACCCGATTCCACCTTCGTTTTCTCAGCCGTATCTTGACCGATTGTTCTGAAAATTTGTCTAGAAGCAAAGTATGCCAATTTCTATTTGTAAACAAAATTTCAGAACAATCGGCGAAGAAACGGCTGAGAAAAGGAAAGTGGAATTAGGTTCGGGTTGGAATTTTTTCATGTTTAGTAAGAGCTAGTTCAACTCTTTTCAAGTTGCGTAAACTTTCACAATTTCAGCATGTTGATAGAGAGGCTGTGATTGAATCAATCGACATCGAATCTCTTGAAAAGCTTTCTGGTAAAATTTAATCTCTAATTGAAAGGAACATCAATTTTTTAGAGAATCAAAAGCCTCCAAAAACAAGACGATCTTTGAGGGAACGACTTGATCATTTGAAAAGTTTTGATGGTTAAGAAATTAATAAAAGTTTCAGACTTTTGCTTTCTGCAGAAGTTTTCATGTTTCATAAAGATTCGTTTAAAATTTGAAGGATTTAAAAGTTTACGGGGGAAATCTAGAAATCAGAAAAGTTTCTAAAGTTCTTAAGCAGTAAAAACTTTTGAAATTTATGTAAGCTTTCTCAAAAGAAATTTTATATATTTGTATAGCTTTCAAATTCGCAATTTGTTATCGAAAAAACTTGAAATCGAAAAGCGGTGAATCACCAAGAGAGTTTTCTGCCCGGACAGCCAAAAAAGTTTATGACGCTTCTTTTCGTCTTGATCTTTTTGCCTTTCAAATCTCGAAGAAAAAGGCGTTCATTTGATTTGAAATTTGACAAACTTTGATATTCTCCTATGTATCTCTCAATTTTATTCTCAAAAAATCCTCCTCTTTATTATGCTGGAGAAAATGTACAAGGAACATTACTGATCAAAGTAGGTTTTTCAGGCAAAATATTGTATTTTTCCAATAAACGGATTGATTCTTTTGTTATTCTTTACCCATTTTAATACAATTTTTGTTTTTAATACCATTTTAGTCTCAAGAAGCGCTCAATGCAAGGCAAGTGCTGATCAAAATTCATGGTGAAGCAAGAAATTCTTGGAGTAAAACCACGGAAAGTGCGAGGTAGGTCCTGCTATATGTTTTATCTCTTTACTACCATAACATTGCTAGATACCTAGAATAGAAGAAACTATAGTATTTTTTAGAAAGATAACTAATATTAAGGATTATCCCTTACTATGGAAGATCATTGACTTAAGATGGGATTTCAAAAGGAGACCTAGCGATCTTGTTCAGTTTTTCGTGGGGATTCCGAATTTGCTTTTAGCTTGCTTCCTAAATAGCTTGCTAACGCAAGGAATTCCGTAAAAACTTTTTATGCATCTGCTTATAGGACCGCGACTCAAATTCAAACCGTGACTCAAACCGTGACGTGACTAAAAACATCACCGGTGGAGCAGTGGTAAGTTGTTGAACTGTTAAGTCAAGGCACCAAGATTCCGCTCACATGACTGAACTTTCTTCTGCATTCTTTGCAAAAATCTTTGCGTTAAAGTTTTAGTATATAATCTAGAAAAAAAAGACAAGATCTAAGACAACAACTTCCATCAAAAGTGAATTTGCTTTATTTTTTTGTATAGTGCTTCCGGTTATTCTGCATTCTGCTATTCTACACAACTCGATTTTGTCGCACGAAGGGTTCGTTTACTTCAAAACGCCAAACTTTTCGATTAGTCTTCCTATGATGACTGAACGAATCATTTTACTTTAAAAAAAAACTTGAGTTATATGCGTTGATCAAAAACAAACATGAAAAAGATGTTAATTGTTGTCTTAAATCTTGTTTTTTCTAAATTACAGACTAAAACTTTAACTCAAAAATATTTTTGCAAAAAATGCAAAAGAAAGTTCATTTATTGGAGCCGAACCTTACTGGCTTGACTTAACAGTCAAACAACTTACCACTGGTCAGCCTCAAGAGATCAGCCTCTTGAGTCGCGGTTTTATAAGCATATGCCTAAAACGTTTTTAGGGAATTCTTTGCGTTTGCAAGCTATTTAGAAAAAAATAAAAGCGAATTCGGAATCCCCGTGAAAAATTGAACAAGATAGGTTAGGGTTTAATCAAAAATAAAGATAGAGTTTAACTAAAAAGCCAAGTTTAACTTTGTCTTACAGCACGAATTCTGATGGATCCACTTCAACAACAACTTCAACAACTTATTACGATTCAACAATTGAAATTCTTTCTGGTGAGAGCCGGGTTTGGGGTGTATGTGTGGGAAAGTCAGAGATTCCGGCAGGAGAACTTCGATTAGACTTCAGGTAACTAAAATGCTGCATAAAGTCAGTTTAATATGGTGTTTTGGGCCTACATTCTCGTAGTCGTGAACTGTTTTACTGATAATTTAATGAAAATTCAAAAATAGTTGAAACTATTATAGTCATTTGATAGCCCTGAATCTTCTCTCAAAAACTAGTACAAAGTTACCAAGAAGTTTCTACGAAATGAGTAACATAAGCCTTTAAAAACTTGAGTAGACACTAGATCAGGGATTTTGGGTTAACGTCAATTGATGTCCAACGGGAAAATGAAATATCTCCGCCAACTTTACTTCAATCTTCTTGTGCTTAATTTCAATCGATAGAAAATGAAATTCCGCGTCAATTCATATCAAAATCAAAAAGATCAAAGTGAAATCGGCCGAGATATGCCATTTTCCGTTGCACGTCTATTGGCGTTTACACCGGAAATTCCCAGGTCTAGTTGAGATCAAAAATAATCGTCATTCGTTACCAGATCGTCGTGAATGTGTTAAGATATTCAAATAGAGGTAGATGATGAAATTCTAAATTCTAAAACCTAAAATGTTTGTAGCATTGAGATTACAGCTTCAACTTGCCACCAAACTGTCTCTCGACATTTCACTCATTTGATGGAAAAATTCTCTATTCGGTGAAAGCCGAAGTGGACACAGGACGGTGGAATTTTAACAAAACAACGACTTCGGTAAGTGAATGCAAAGATTACGATCCAAATCAAACATGACGCAAATATTCGATCAAGGATCACTTTAATAGATTCAGCTTCAATATGTGGTCTATTTTTGGGAAATTGAAGACCTTCTGCTAGAAAATAACGATATTCTTGAGCTCAAAAATCAATCTTCAGGAGTTCACTGTCGTAAAGCCTTGTGACTTGAGCTTGAATCCAAAACTCCTCGCCGCTCATCGAGCAGAGAAATCTCACAACATTGGCATCCCATTATTTCGAAAAGGAAATGTGACCTTGACGGTAAAATTTGAAAATTCATTTACCGTATTTTCTCTAATAGTAGCGCACCCTGAGGGTCGCCTAAATTGCTCGAAATCTCGAAAACCGCTTATGAGAACCTATTGATGTGGGGTCGGAAAATGTAGCTGACGATGAGATCTAGGGGGGATTAGAGTGTTGAGCTTCTGGGAAAAATTGGAAACCGTAAAATAGTCATCAACTCGGCTTGGGTGCACTACTATTAGAGAAAAAACGGTAACATCAAAAATAATGTTTAGGCTACGATCTCAAAAATTGGATTCGTGCCAAATGAAACTTTGAATATAAACTTGATTGTAAACAATGCGAGCAAAAGGAAAGTTGATATGGTAAGTTACATTTTAGTTGTCTTTTAAAAATTTAAACTTTAGTTAGAAATCTCATTGGAAGGAAAACAAGAACTTTTGGCTTTTGAATTTGGAAAAAAGCAATATTCGATTGAAGATGGCTTTCAAAATGAAAAAGCACGATTCGATGAGAGAAAGATATCTTCAAAGCATCATGGGAAAATGAAATGTGTAAGTTGTAGTAATTTTTGTTTTTTTTAGCAACAAGACATTCGTTTTAAAGCCAAAGCTATTTGGTAGAACAATTTAAAATTCGGATTGTTGGCGACAAGTTGGAGCTTCTAAGACAAGACAATTTCTAAAGAATCGAGATCGGTTCTACGAAAGGATGATCTCAATTCAAAGTTCGAAACCGTTTACCGACTAGGTGAATTTTATAAATGAACTGCGGTGTTCATGATATTATAATTTTTTTTCTAAAGATTTTTCAACTATCGATTTTATGGATTCATAATCTTTATAATCAAATCAATAAGCTCCGCCTTGTCGCAAACAATCTGGATCTTAAATTGATATAGAATTTAGCCATAGTTTTGAGATTTAGCATACCGTAAATACTGTAATAGTACCCCACCCCCATAATGACGGTGCGGAGTGTTGCGTAGTCTAGCTTTGGACGCGTTTCTCTCGACACTGGTTTATACTACAATGCGCGCTTAGGTATCAAAAAATAGCCCTGAATTTCAGCTATTTTTTGCTACCAAATACACATTTTCTGAAAGTACGGGCGCTTTGAAAATAAATGAAATACTAAAAAACTTTTGCGACTACGCGGCTGTACGAGGGGGTGGGGTACTTTTACAGTATTTACGGTAGGTACTAGGACCAAAGATAAAGGACCAAACGGTCCTTTATCTTACAAGGGAATGGCCTCAAGTTCGGAATCGTTTTGACCCTTGTAAATCTTATAGAATCGACCATGGAGATCACGAATACCTAAAAATTTTTCGCCAAAGACCCTGCAAACGCGAGAAATTCGGCTTTAAAGCTTTAGGACTCTCTTTTTGCGACCTGTTTACGAAAATGAAAGAGTGGAGCGGTGACTAAGTGGATAATGTGTCGGATACAAAGTCCTCGGTCCGAGTTCGATTCCTCTCTACGCCAAACTTTTTTGCTTTTAAATTTTTGATTAAAATTCATTTTTCCTATGCGGGAACAACTTTTTCTGCTAAAAACAAAAGCAGAAAGTGGAGCAGATTGTTTGAATTTGTGACCTAATTGAAAGTTTGATAAAATTCCGTTTCCAGGCAATCAGTGTTCAACCACACTGCACAGAATCTCTTGCGATTCCATTCGAAATCCCTTGCGTTCCCTCTTCATTTGAATGTGCGATTAGCCGGCTGTTCTACGTGTTAAACGTAACAAACGTTGAAGAAACAATCAATTTTTGCATAAACAATTCAGGTTTCAATTCGTTCCAAAGAAACGCTAAACTCTTCAACGAGTTGTCAGCTTCCAATTGTAATCGGTGATATTGGATTTGAAAAAGTTGGAGAGTACGGTAAATTCATTTATAGAGACAATCTATAGGAAAGTATTGATATTTTCATTTCAGATCCTCCACCTGTTTACGCAGAGAAACCTAAAATGAAGCCCGCTTCCTGAATAATGAGTAAAAATCGTATTTGCTTGAAGCTTTAATAAATTACATGTACAAATGGATTTCCGATCTCAGTCACTGTTTCTGAAAGTTTACCTTGAGTATTTCAGCTAATTTTGGCTTAAAGAGATGTAGAATTTGTAGCAAAGATAAAGCCAAATTTAAGGCCAAAAAATTGTTCTCAAAAATTTGGGCACAGAGAAAGCGGAAAAACCATTCTCTTCCCAAAATGACATTCCCACCAATCCCCCAAAAAAAGTTCCAAAAGGGAAACCCTTTATACAGTGCGTTTCAAATTCTTAAACGCACCCTCTAAAATAGGGAATTTTGCATTTTGAACACCGCTGCAACTATTAATCTTTTTCTATTAGAAAGAGCATGCCTTGAAACCTAAAAAACACGAAAAATAAGCATACTAGAAAAAATATAAATTTGCAAAATAGAAACTTTTTGTTAAATCAACCGTTTCAAATTCTTAAACGCACTATGAAAATATTTTTATTTATCGACACAAATTAACAATCAAAGGTAAAAAATCAAAACTAATAATCTGTACACGCACCAGAACGATTAATTACTTGAAAAATGCGGTCTGGCATTGAATTGATGAGGTTTTGAAGAGCAGGGACGTCGAGATAGCTTCAGGCCAAACGGATCGCAGTTTTAGGCACAAATATACGTCTTAAAACTGACGATGATTTTTGTAGGCAGCTTGGACAAGTGTTCGGCATAAATTCCCTATCGGATTGAAGTCAGGAGATCGAGCGGGTCAGTGCAAAGTTGCGATGTTATTGTTGTTCAGCCAGGCGCCTCCGGCTCGATGAATTGACGCATTTTCGTATTGAAACAAATCGGGAACGGTTGGATTTAGGAGCAAAAATGGCAACAAGCAATTGTTCAAGATATCTATCTAGTCATCCGATTCGAAACCATCTTCAGAGCGACCGTTCCATCAGCACAAAAGGCGGCCGAAACTATCACGGAACCACCGCCAAAGTTTCGAGTTCCAAACACCATCGGATCACGTCGAAGATCCCTCCAATAGTAGTGAACGCCATTGGAACCATCCCAATTCCATTTATTCTCATCGGAAAAGATCACCTAAATGCAAAAAAATAATAAAACATAAGCGGCTTTCTAACCATAGACCAATCCTGATTCATATGAGCATTGGCGAACGTCTATTTATCTGAATATTTTGGGGCTGTCATTGCGGAGGTAGAACCTGAGCCTAAGCTTGAGCCATGGCGTAGTCGGGAGAGCGCTTGTTTACGGTCCAGACAAGCCGGGTTCGACCCTCCTCCGTGCCTTAGTTTTGGGTTTTTTGATTTTTTGATTTTTCCTTTTAAATGGCATAATTACAATGTATTCTAAGGTTTTCTAAGGAATTTTTAGCTTTATTGGTCAAAAGAACGGCCGAGAAAATGGCCGTACAGACAGACAGACACTGCTCTTTTATAAATAGAAGATTTTGTACCATATTTTATTGGGGTTTACTATTAGACCTTATAAAAATACTCCTTTTCAGCTTTCATATGTCGTATCAAACAAACTATGTGGCTGTGAAAACCGTTCATGAACATGTCGCTGAGGAAGTGAGGTTAATTTTTATTCAAAAGTGTGTTTCTTGGAAGGTGGGCGACCGGCAAAGTTCCGTAACCTTTCGTTAAAATTTAAGCGTTCCATCTTCCGATTTAAATCTCTCACTCCTCACGAATGAGATCATAGATAAACACAATCTGAAAGGCCGGTAGTTTTCCAAATTTCCCATCTTTTAGAAACGCTTTAAGAATAGCATCCGACTGTCCACGCCAATTTCCTTTTAAAAAAGAGTTTATCGAGGAAATCAAATTTATGAAACAGTTAGAGTATCATCCAGATATTTTGTCATTGATTGGCCGTTCTACAGCTCCAAGTTACCCATTGATCTTGACCGAAATCAATCAGAAACAGATCGGCTGATTGATTTCCTGCCATATTCGGCAAAATTTTGTTGATGAACATCTCCTGCTGCGGCAGACAGGTTTGGACGAGCCAACTGGCAAGCGAAAATCGCAGAAAATTAGAATCATTTCTGATTTAACTTTTCTTTCAAGATGAGCGATGATGAAGCGCAAAATTTCAGCCAAATCGGTTCAGCCGTTCTTTCTAAAATCCCAGAACAGACAGACACACCGACATAATCTCTCTCCCTCTCTTATAATAAGGAACGACCAAAACGATCATTTAGCTTAAAATTAGCCCAAAATTATCATTTACTTACAATGATCGCAATTTGACCGATTCTGAACGTTTTAATGTGATCTGGGGCTTTCACACAACTGAATATACCAATGGTGAGTGAGCAAATAAAGCCATCGATTAGAAGTTGAATTAAATAAGGATTCTCGAGAGTTGAATATTTTGACATTTGAGTCTGATGGTGGGAAAAGTGAGGTAAATGTGACTGTTTCTGAGCCCAAAGAGTAGAGTGGAGAAATTGGAAATAAAAATGGAAACAGGTGTGTTTTTTGAGAGTCTGGAGACAGCTGTAAACTTTAGGAAATAGTTGGCAGGCTGTAATGAACATCTGTTGAACCTTACTGTTTATAATATCCTAGTTTTAGGATACGATCACCTATCATGACCCTGGTTACATCACTTATTGTTGTGAAGGTGAGTTTTGTAACTTTAAGAGTTTCCATTGCTTTTTCTTTATCTTTTCATTTTTATTTCTGTTGAATTTTTTAAAAATTGGTTTATTATAGATAAGCATTATTTTATTTTTAAGTCAGATCAAGTTTTTAAAGATGAGTATGGGTTATAGAGATAGGATATAGGGATGGGATATAGCGGTACAGACCAATTTTTGGCATTTACAGTATATTGTAGTAATAAAAAATGGCCTACCTCATTCGTTATAGCTAAATAGTTTTGATAAATCGTTGAATAGAACTGAATTTGAGGTCTTTATTCATAACTTCTTTTTTTCTATTCATAATTAAATGCAAGCATCAAGATTGTTGAAAGATTTCTGATCATTTAAACAGTTTCGATCTTTACTTCTGTTTCTCGTGTTGGCTCAGAGCGATAATAGTTCTTACTAAATTTTTACAAATTCTTTGATGCTTATTTACCAAAACACCTGATATTCACGTTTGATATTCACCGGTTTCTAACTAGTTTACATGAGAGATGGAGACGCTTCCGGGATTTCCAAAAGCTTCCCTGTTTTCAAATGTGGAAGCACTTCCTCTTGGTTTATTGAATGGAACGGAGTCTTGCCGAATGAGTACATTTCATAAAGAAGAACAACGAAAGACCAGCTGGAAGTTGGCAATATAAGAAGAATTCTGCAGTGATCGTTTCCTGGCAGAGTAGAGTGCGTTGCAAAATGATAGGACCACCCTCGATTTTTGCGATTTTTGGTTTTAAATAATTAAAAATGCAAAACGATGCTTAGATCCGAATTTTATATACAAAAGTACGCCCAAATACCGTTTTCCAAATAATTTACTTTAAAAGGCAAAATTTTTTAAGCATTTCTTTATTTTACACCTGTTGCAAAATGATGGGACCACTGCGTTTCTTTTTGACTTTCTACCTGTAATAACCAAGTTTTTTTTGCTTACTTTTTGCTAATTTTTATTATTTAGGAAGATGGGGCGTGGAAAAGCGCTTTCGCGGATCGAACAGATGAAAATTTTGCTTTTGAAAGGAAGAATCGGAAGATCGCAAAAAAAAGCGCTCGCACCAAGTTGTCTCAAATTTCTTGAAGGATCCTTTCAAGTATGGCAAGAAAAAGTCTCCGGGACGTCATCGAAAGCTCATGCGCTGAACGGCATATGGGACGTCTATTGTCGAATTCGTTGATGTCGCTACAGGACGTCAAGGTACAAATTGGAGCTCCCGTCCCCAAAAGCACTCTTTCTCGAGCCATCAAGTGTTACATCCGTTATATCAAAAGAGCAGTCATGAAGAAAGCACCAAAACTGAAGCCGGCACACAAAGAAAAAGGGATCTCTTGGGCTCGGGATCACATCGCCATCGATTGGAAAAAAGTAAACTTTTTGCCTTGAGTTATTAACTCTTTTTTTTCTTTGTAGGTCATCTTCAGCGATGAGAAAAAATTTAATTTGGATTATCGTTACTTACAATCATTATATGATGGTTTTTATGAGCCGAAGTTTCTTAAAAATTTAATTTGGATGGTCCCGGCCGCAACAAGTACTATTGGCACGATTTGAGAAAAGATCCAATGCTTTGTGGGCGTCGAAACTTCGGAGGGGGATCACTGATGATATGGGGCGCTTTCAATGTGGATGACGTTCTTGATTTAGAATTTGTGACTTGTCGCATGAACTCGCACGATTACCAGAACATCCTTGACCGTCCTTGACCGGGACCATCCAAATTAAAGTTTTATTTTTTAACGAAGAAACGTTTACAAAATATTAAAGCAAAAGAAACTCTAGTTTAGTTAATTCAAGAAAAAAATAAATCTCCTCCAAAAAGCCGATTAAAGTTTTAAAGGTTTTTAAGAAATCTAGTGAATTTCATTGATAACAAAGAATTTTCTCGGTGAAAGTTTTGGCTTCAAGATTTTTGTGGAGGAATAATGTCGTTGAAATCATTGATTTTCTGTCTCCTTCTTTGTCCACAATTTGTTGCTGCCGTTTCGTATATTATGATGATTATTGGAAATCCGAATGCCTCATTCGGTCCCATTGAATATCTTGATGTGAACGATCCATCCGAGAAACTCTTCGAGAGCCTCAAAAATGCCGGCCAGGACTGTGACATGCTTGTTGGAAGAAAGGGGTACGCTTTTATGATAAAGTTTCTTGCTGACTTGATTAGGGTTGGTCCATCGAGCCATAAAAAGTCATAAGACACGAGGTCAGACCATATGTCTATTTGGATTGAAACTTTAAGTCGAACGCAAGTCTAGTTTAAGCTGTTTTCTAAAAAACATTGATAAGCATGACAGACAATCACTAAAGAGTTTCAGAATTATAAAGGT